ATTTTTCACCTAATCTATTAGAGAATAGGTAACATTTTAGTGCACTCCTTTGCTTTGCAATTGAGGCTGCTTCAGCAAACGTTTTAGTGCACTCCATTGCATTGCAATAAAGGCTGCTGCAAAAAACTGCGGCAGCATCTCAGCGGGATTGAATAGTTAACTTGCTAATGGAGGCTGCTTAGAGCAGAAGCAAAATCATTGTGAGGAAATGCTGTTAATGTAATAATAAAGAAACATTTCGGGAACGGCTTTCCCGTGCCCTATGTACACAAAATGCAGCGATTCGGCCTAGCGCTACACTTGCATCTACGCATCTTGCGTCTTGACGGCTGTCGCAATTTAACACACAGCACTTCATTTTATTAGTTTTTAGTCTTCAACTCAAAAACCACTCACAAATTGCAAATTAACACCATTTAAACTGATTTTTCACTTATAATTAAAATTTCTCTTTCGCTGACTTGTAAACAAAGGTTTGTTTACAAGTTACCACAACTGTCAAAATCGGCAAAACCAAAGTAGCGGTACCACTGACGGCGCCACCTTTGTTCGCTGCACCGTGAACAAACACATATCTAAATGTTATGCACTAATTTACTTTAAAAGGAACAATTGCAGAATACGGCCCGTTAAGGCAGAACAAACCGAAAAAGTGGGCGTGGTCTGCCCTCTTTTTCTGATTTTACTGGTATACATTTTTTTTTGATGCAAACATATATTCGTGGCTATGGAGGGGCGAAGGGGGAATATACATTTCCATCCACTTTGTTTTCAAATAAGACTGATGCTTTTTACTTTTTTATTTAAGTAATGAGAAACGTCAAAAGAATGTTCTAGAGTTGCCATGAGTACGAGCACAGAAGAGATGTGGATGTTTAATGGCGTTGCAACAGTGCGCGGAAAGTCTTGGGGGCCAATTCTCGTTTTATGTAATGGGGAAGTGAAAATAAAACTCAGCCTTATCATGATTTTCATTTTCTCCGAACCAGTTCACTTTTCACTTATAGTTTCCATGTATTTACCATAGGCAGAATAGGTATTTTCGGGTGAAATTTTTTTCGGGCGAAACTCAGAGTAAGGCAGAATATAAAATTTAGTGAAAATTTTAGTTTTTCACTTTATTATGGCATACCTTAAGAATACGGACCGTTGAGCTAGAGAAAAAAGTGGACGTGGTCCATTCCTTTTTGCTTAATTGATAAGGGCGGCGCTAGGGGGCTTAACGTGGAATTTTCAACATTTTCAAAAGCTTATATTTCGAAAATTTTTGAATCGATTTTCAAAATATGGACACAGTTGGAAAGGTATCTACAACGTATACATATTTCGAAAAAGGTAACAAAATCATTTTACGGAAATTTTTTGATAAAAATGTATTTTTTCGTAAAAATACGCAACTATAATAAAAGATATGTTTGTCAGAAAGAGCACAAAAATACCTTTAATTTGACGTATAATTTTATATAGTTAGGTTTAAGTACAACTGCCAACAGTGAAATAAACCCACTATATTAATGTTATATTCTATTAATTTATTTCAATTTCGTAATCATTGTCATCATCATCATTTTCGTCTACATTTTGAAGTTTCAGGGGATTGTACTTTAAAAAAGTTTCAAAGTTTACGTAACTTTTACGAAGACGACGTTGTTCCGATTTTTTATTAAAAATTTTCTCCTGCGACGCTTTTTTCTTTTTTTTTATATAAAAGCATACTTTATAATATATACCTGCGGCCCTTTTTTTCTTTTTTTATATAAAAGCATACTTTAATATATACCTGCGGCGTTTTTTTAAGTTTTTATATAACACGATAGTTTACTATACAGCTAATGAAAATTTGGAATAAAACATCGCGGGATTTTTTATTCCAAATTGTTGCCTGCTGCGCTTTTTCTTTTTCATATAAAACGATATTTTAATATATGTATATTTAAACAAATATAATGTGCAGAAGAATTTTTTGTTACAAGTCATACATCAAATTAAATATATTTTTGTGCTCTTTCTGATAACCATATTTGTTAACATAGTTCATTACGTATTCTTTTTTACGAAAAACATACATTTTTATAAAAAAATTGCCATAATTAGGTTTTTGTACTTTTTCTCAAAATATGTATACATTATATACATAAATATATATCGAATGAAAGGTCCTGCAATCACTTTTCCATCTGTGTCCATATTTTTAAAATCGGTTCAATAGTTTTCGAAATATAAGCTTTTAAAAATGTTGAAAATTTCACGTTTAGCCCCCTTAGCGCCACCCCTGATAATTTGCACACAAAAAATATGCCGTTAAAATCAGGAAAAGAGGGCGGTCCGCGCCTACTTTTTTTTAGATCATCGGCCCCAATTCCAATTATTGTTTAAACGTTTACGTAATGCTTAACGTAAAGTAAAAACGATGAATTTATTAACGGCGTTAAATGCTCGATTTTAGGGATGAGAAAACGACGAACAAACGATTTATCACAGTTAACAAATGAAAATAATGAAATTCTTACATTTGGGGTTCTAAAGGCAGGAACTGTAAAATGTAAAAAATTAATTATAAATGTTTGGCTTAGGAACAAACGTTAAAAATGGACGAACAATGAAGAGCAAACGACGAATTATCGATTGCAATAATAATTCACCCAAAATAATCTGTTGCGGGTGCTAACTTCAGGAATTGAAAAATTAATTATAAATTGTTGGCTAACGAACAAACGTTAAAAATGGACGAACATTAAAGAACAATCGACGAACTATCGATTGCAAAAATCTTTATATTTTCACAAATGGGGTGCTAACGTCGGTTGGGTAAAGCTGAAATTAGTCAAGAACGTAAACCTACCGGTACGTAAACCCGAGTCAGCTGACACGATCTGTCTTACCAAAGCGCCGTGTAAATGGAAACTCAACACCGCAGAATTTTTCTGTAGTTGTAGCCCGTAGCGCAGAAATCTGCGGAATTTAGATTTTCCCGTGTCAGCTGATTTCTCCTTCTTTAGATGGTTGCCACTTTGTCAGTTTTACAGATGGTAAAAAGATATATGTAAGTACCAATTCAAAATATGTTTAAAATATTTGAAATTTATTATTGAATAAGGTTTTTGTTGAAAACTAAGTAGTTTATATTTAGCTAAAATCTATTATAGCACGAAAAATTGTAGCTGAAAAGGTAATTTTATGAAAAGGCATTGATGAGGGGCAACAGTGTAGTAAGCAACACTGAGGGCTCCAGTAATCGACAAAATTCTGCGTATACAGACTGCGTTTAAGTATACGTTCTGCGTTCTCGACTAATTTCAGCTTAAGGCTTTCGGCAACGCTGCCTCGGGGTAAGTCTCATCAGGGTTGACAGGTCTGATGAGAAGGAGCATGAATTTTGCTGATTCAGAGTTGCATACAAAATTAATGTGGTATGAAAGGGAGCAACAACCGTACTAAGGCAGAGTGGCACAGGTAAAACAAACACTTCTTATCATTTTCAAAAAGATAATTGCTATTTATTTTCCAATATTCAGATATCCAGCTTGTAGCCAGAGGCAGTGGCTTGTGAGGTTCACTAAAATCTACTCATCATATTGGAACAGCTCCGGCTAATGGACTATTGAATGTGTTGGGCTGAACTTATGACCGCCATAACCAACGCACTCTCCAACCAAATGCGTGTCTTGAATTTATACGGTAGCAATTCATAGCAATTGCTCTTGTATGTGTGTATGATTCATGTATGTGATATTCTATTCTATATTGATGTTAAGTATTTTTGTATTAATGAGCTGTCTGGGCAAATGCGCTGGCAGGCATTGGAGTCTCTATAACTAAACAAACCTGTTTTTTTTTTGGAATAGAGATTAAAATATATTCGGAAATTTAGTTTTCTTTGATAAATACACAACATCCACGTTTTTTAATAAAAAATAATTAAGCATAAAATAATATACTTAACCTACATTTTGTTCATAAATAACACAATTATAAAAATTTTATCCTCGAAAAGACCGTCTAATCATCAGGCGAAATTCCTCACAGTAAGTGTTGCCGTGCGCGCAAAACGAAAACGCTGCACACAACCCAAAAGTACTAGACTAGAGTTTTAGATTTTGCCTCACGTTTCCTTAAGTGACGTTTTAATTGCAGTGGTACCAATAGCATTATTTTTTACAGAGATGCGTGGAAAGCATATTAGGGGGATTAACGACTCCTTCTGTGTAATTTTGGGAACAAGTAAGAGGTCGTTGGGTAAAAAAGAAAAAGTAAGCATGGCCCGCCGCTTTTCTCTGATTTTAATAAATACATTCCATTTTGGTGCAAATTCATAGGAGCGGTACTAGGGAGGGTAATCGTGGAATTTTCAATAGCTTATATTTTGAAAAGTTTTAAACCAATTTTCAAAGTATGGATAGGGTTGGAAAGGTAATTAAAAGTCCATATATATATATATATATAACATATATGAATATGTTAATTATAGGAATTTTTTATTTAATAATTTTTTTTTTCTTAAAAAAACTATATTCAAAGACATGCACAAGATATCCTGCAAGACGCGACTGACAGAAACTCCAACATATTCACAACGAAAACTAACACACATGCAAAATTTTATATGCCAGTTTGGCTCTGTAGCGAGTGACTGTCATTTGATCGATCAAGTGAGTGGCAATGCTGATAAGAAGTAACGGTAGTTGGTTGCCATAGTAACCACAAGATTCACTAGGGCTGCACTTTGTGCTCAACAAAAGTAGTTGTACCTGCCAATTAATGTCGAGTACTGAAGTACTTGGATTTAATTTTTAACTTAATTAGTTTAATTTTAATTTTATCACTATTCGACCCCGTTCATAGCAAAAGTAAGAAAAAATAAAAGTTTCCATTGTGGTATGACATTCTTTTTATATATAAACGTAATAAATAAAACCGTATTTTAAAGTACTTGGTACTGAAGAAGTTCAAATCAACATCAACAGAAAAAAGAAGGACGCAACACGAAAAGATGCTCAAAACTTAAAGTGCTGTGGAAAAATAAAGATAAGTTGTATAAAATATTTCATTTAAAATGAAGAAAAGAGCTTTTAATATCGCCATGAGCAAGAAAAACGGATTTACGAATCCAATATTAAAAAATTGCATCGCATCGCCAGTTCTCTACCACTGCAGTCCTATTGCGTTGTGAATTTAATAGAAACAAAATTAAAAGATCCAGAGTATACACAAGCCATGGTAAAGAATTATATTATGGAATACATATTTCACGTTCTAATTGCTGTACATAAATTTTCAAAGGTCAATTATATCAAAAATAAAAGTTGTGTCTGAGGACGTAGCCAGCGGTATTAAACATTCATTTTCGGAGGAGGCATTGCTGCATCTTAACTTTGAGGGCAGATGGGAGAGAAAACCACTAAACAAACGTAGGAGGTAATATGTACACATATTAGGGACATAACAAGTTCTGACCATTTATTTTTTCGTTATTTATTTATAACTATATACCTATATATAAACCTTTTCAACATACTTTGTCAAAAATTCTCAAAAATCGATGCAAGTTCTTAAATAAATGGTCAAAACTTATAAATAAAGAGTATCACTAATTATGTGGCCACTACCGTATACATATGTACATACATATGTACGTATCTTTTAACTATACAAATTTTATGATAATCTATTTCATTCCACTTAGATGCATTTAAAAAGAAAGGTCCTGTTGCGTTCGAAAAAGAAATCAGGAAGGCAATTGAGCTCAGCCATCACCGCTTGCACCAAAAAATCACAAAACATATCGGTTGGAAATGTATAACCCCTGTAGGGAAAACACGAACTAGTGAACCAAATTTCTAGTTCAGTACTAGTTCTTTTTCGCCAAAAACGAACCAGTCCGATAGTAACTAGTCCCGCACCAGGCCAAAAGCAGTGAAATGTGGTACTTTAACTAAACTATTTTATTTCAAATTTTAAACGCACAGAAGGTAATCATTATGAGTAAAATAATTTAAATAAGCATTTAATCATTATTTTATGAATTATTATTGAGTTTTATTCTTTCGCTCAAACGGAAATAATTATTATTTGATTTTTATTTTTGGGATTACAAATAATGATTATTTTATGATTTTTATTTTTCGCGCAGAGATTATCATTAAATTTGAGTTTTATTTTTCCGCTTAAAAATAATGATAATTTATAAAATTGAAAAGGCCATACAGACGCAACATACTAAAATTTCGACCTGAAAAGTTTGGGTCTTATTCCTCTTATAAGGGTGCGGCTGGCTACCTCTCAAAAGGATACGTCGGTAATCACGCTGGTATAGTTTTTGAGTTGCTTAATAATCATTATACTTAGTGATTCTATAAACAAAGGCCAAGATCCTGAAGGACAATTGAGAAAGGCAATGCAGTTGCAGAAAAAGGGGCATTTAAAAAAAGAGTGTCAAAATAATTATCACTTTCTCACTAAATTTATTTAAAATGCAAGCCACCAGAGCTCCCTTTTTTTAAGAAAAGACAAATTAATTTTTTTTATGCAATCCAGCACAGCTACCTTAATACAGTCAGTCAATAAAGTTTAGGTACAACTAATTTTTTACAATACGGGCAACTATTTTTTAAATATTTTAATTTTCGGTAATTTTTTATAAAAATATGGTCAATTCTACAACAAAATCCCAAAAAATCAGAGTTCCAAACCTTGTGCAAAATTTAAGAAAATTCTGCAAAATTTCATTAAAATAATTCACTTTCTATTTACGCTCTTTACAAAAAGTTGAGTTTACAGTTTTTGAGCCCATTCAATTTTAGTATAATGAAGTGCAAGTATGAGGAAGCTAGGACTTACCAAACAACAAAAAAAAATTGCTAAATATCAATGGTAAGTCCTAGCTACCTCAAACTTGCACTTTGTTATACTAAAATTGAATGGGCTAAAAAACTGCGTACTTAACTTTTTTCTAAAGAGTGTAAATTGCAATATTTGGATGGAAATTTGCGGAGTTTTCTTTAATTTTACATAAGGTTTAGAACTCCGATTTTTGTGGTTTTTGGTGTATAACTAACCATATTTTTATAAAAGATTAGGGACAAATAAAATATTTAAAAAATAGTTGCCGGTATTGTAAAAACTTCGCTGTACCTAAACTTTATTGACTGACTGTATATGGGTGTTTCCAGCGGAAGGTCCACCACGACGAAAAAAATAAAAGTTGAATATCTAACGTATTTACGGGCCGATTTGTCTGCTTTTTAAAATATATACTGGCTATGTAAGTAGAATCATGTTTGCATAAAATAGTCTTCCTAGGTGGTGCCAAGGTCGAGATATTTCGAAAAACCGTATTTAAGGTCCGATTTGGTTCGAATTTGGCGTATGAGGTTGAAACATAATAAATCATAAATTTCTAATAAATTGACCCCGAAATGGGTCTGAAGTCAAAATATAAAATATATTCTACATAAAATACATGTTTTTTTTGCGTTGAAAATTCATTTAAAAGCAATATTAACGAAAATATAACGATGGAAATTTATGTCACGTGACGCCACGTCACGTCACGTTTCACACTTGTGGTTGTAAAAGAGAATTGAAACAATTTGCATTAATTCAAAAAACTCTAAAAACAACTAGAATTGCTCCAAATCATATCAAAATAAGTTTCATCAAAATAGCCATCCACAATTCGCAGAGTTTTGCGATTTTGTTAGAAAAGAAAAAATCAACTTCCATTTTTTGTCACGTAACGACACTCTCTTTAAATGCTTATATTTCAGGACCAAGCAGTTCGATTGATTTCATTTTTCGGTTAAATATACAGCTAATTATGTGCTATACAATGGCCCAAAAAAGTTAAAGAAAACAAATGGTATTCCTTTTTTGTATCACATTGAAATCGTACGACTGTCACGTGCGCCACCATGGGAATGCCCATATCTTATTTAAGTACGACAACAACTTTCGAAGCACTTCATATCAGCGTTTGAAAATGCTCCGCTATTTGCCAGTTTTTATGTTTGCTCTTGCTATCGGTCTTGATTTAAAGAAACCATTAGCAGAGCAAGTAGCACAAAACGCGAAGAGTATTTGTATTTCTCGGCTCCCGACTGGGCTTCGTTGTACTACTACGCAGATGAATAGAGCAAAAAAACGAACAATGTGCTGTTTGGAGTCGTAGCAAATGAAAAGCTGTGATAGCGGTTTGCAGCATAGCAAAGCGAAATTTTTGCTACTGCTATTGCTATCGCTACGGGAGTCGTTGAATTGCTCTCGCAGCTGCTACAAATGCTCAACTGGCTTTTCTTAATCTTAATTCTTGCTTAAATTTAGACAAGTAAGATAAAGTGAACTAATATTTTTTTATTATTTTTACTTTTAATGTGGTTTATAAGTTTTAAATAAATGCGTTTAAACATTTGTGATGGTATTGTCCTTCCTTCAACCGATCGTATTTAATATAAAAGGGAAATGTTTCAACAAGCCTGATTAGAAATATATATCTAAGGAAAATGGATGCAGATCGAACTAGATCTCATCAGTCGAATTAGGAACTGGTTTGGAACTAAAAAAGGGGATGCAGAACGAACTAGATCTCATCTGCCGAATTTGGAACTGGTTCGGAACTATAGAAAAAGAGATGCTAAACGAACTAGATCTTATCTTTCGAATTTAGAACTGGTTCGGAACTAAAGCCAAAGGGATGCAACGGGGTACAATTGACACTTCCTAGGACATCGCAATGTTAAATTCGCCAGTCGCTAGCATGCAAAAGAGAATTAACGCGTACTAGTCATGGTTCCAGACGCACTAGAACCGAACCAGTTCCGCACTAGTTCGTTTCCATACAGGGCACCTGCTAACGCTCTACCCATGCCTGTTTATGATTGTCACTATGCCATGATTTTTTTTAAATTTTTGTAAAGTTGCTTACCACACTTACGATTGCTATAAATTTTGCTTCCATTTTTTTAAGATTTTCTAATTTGGTGTCTTCAAACTAAAAACAAAAGCACCAAAAACGCGCCAAGCACCAAACTAAAAATTTTCGCGTTTCGAATACCCACTAAATTTGGTGCGAAAAGCATGAAGTTGGCAACAGGGAATGTAAACAAAAGTATTTTATGACGTCAGCGATTAGGTGGATGCAGTCAAATCGACGAAGAGAGGATTAGCGGCCCGCGAATGGCGCGACCCAAGAATGATAGAATACAAGATTGCGCCGATCAGAGAGGATTTTTGAGAATAACTTTTGAGTGACGTCACACTGGTGCAATTGCGAGAGAGAAATGCCAAAACGTGAGCAAGAATGGAAGAAGAAGAAAAAATGTTGCAAGGAAAACGTAAACAAGTTGCACCAGTGTGACGTCATGCAAACAACGATTCTGTCAAATTCGTTAAGAGAGGAATAGCGGTCCGAGATCGGCGCAACCTTTGTATTCTCTCAATCGTGGGCGCGACCTTTATATTCTGGATCGTGCGTTGCGTGTATATCGTCGGTCCCTACGAAGAGTAGCATATTTCACTATTCGCGTGGAAGACTAGCACATTTTACTATTAGCGTGGAATACTAGCACATTTCATTATTCGCGTCGAAAAGTAGCATATTTCAGATTTTTGCGTGGAATAGTAGCACATTTCATTATTTGCGTGGAAGACTAGCACATTTCAGATTTTTGCGTGGAAGAGTAGCAAATTTCAGATTTTTGCGTGGAAAAGTAGCACATTTCACTATTTGCGTGGAAGAGTAGTACATTTCAGATTTTCGCGTGGAATAGTAGCACATTTCACTATTTGCGTGGAAGAGTAGCACATTTAGGGTTGAAACTAAATCATAAATATTTATTTATATTTCTATGATTCAATTATAAAATTAATGAAATACAGACGGTATATAGCGTTTAGTGATCATTTGCTGGAGATCATCCACTATTCTTTTTTTTAAGGCATTTTTCCCTTTAAGCTTTATGCAATTCATATTGTTTTATGGTTAACCATTAAAATTTTGTTTTCAGTATGTTCAATTTCAATTAAAATAAAGTTCATTAAAAAAACCATGTAAACCCACGCTTAAAATTTTGTAGAAATCTAAAAAAAATCAACTAACTTTCATTCAAATTTAAAATTTATTTACTCATTTTTTTAGTAAGAAGCTTTATATCCGATTCAATTTTAGTGTGATAATGTGCAAGTTTCAAGAGCCTTAAAACCTTTGATTCTTTTTGTCGCATTTGCTACCATATAACGAATAAAAACACTATTTATTTTTATATGGAAGAAAACCGCAACAACGGAAATTTTTAGCCACTTGAAACTTGCACATTATTGCAATAAAATTGAAAAGGCTTTAAATCTGTATACTCAAAAAATTCTGAGAAAATAATTTTGACATTTGGATGAACATTTGTAGGTTTTTTTTTAATTTTCTACAAAGTTTTAAATTTGGATTTATATGGACTTCTTCAGAGAATGAACTTTATTTTAATGAAAGTTCTTACAAATAAATAAATAAACATAAGTGGAAAACAATATCACTTTGAAATGAGGTGCTCTTGATATGACTGCATGTACATTAGGGTTGTCCAAAAACAGTAAGTCGGAATTGTAATGCTCTCACCCCCTTGGATTGTTCTATATAGAAAAAAGTGTACCGCTTTTTTTTTTATTTTAAAATCAAAAAATATTTAGAGGTCGCTCAAAGCGCTCAAAGTTTTCCATGTATTTTTGTATGGGGAAAAAACTTTTCGTAGAAATGGTAGGTTCTTTCCCGTACGCAACGCGGGATCCCGCGGGTGCCCAAAATAGCCCAGAAATCATTCCCGTA